TAATATAAGCACAGAACTGAACACAATTATAGTTGAATTACAAGTATTTTTGCCAAACCTTCAAAATGGCTCATGCTTTAACAAAAACTAACGTAGCCAGAGATTTGAAGAAGGGATTTCCAGTTTCCAATAATTACCAATAGAACATTAATTATATGCCTACACACAAGATCCTACTACTGACTATTTCACTGTGTAAAGACCTAATTAGCTGTAATTTTAACACTGTATATCACCCAGACAACTACATTTTCTAAAGGAAGCCTGAAAGCACTATTTAGATGAGAATTTAAAAAAAAAAAAAAATCAAACAGACAAAACATCTACCTTGGATGGTGTTAAAAAACCATGAGTTGTAGGCTTACCATTCAAAAATTCAATGGAAAAAATACAATAAAAGACAAAGCATCCACTGTAGTATAGTCTTTGCTGTCGTAACAGCGGAAAATGAACTTTTGCCAGGCATGGCTGTGTATAAAAAGGGCTGAGACGCTACAAGTGCATGGTGACCCATGGTGGCACTACGCAGCAGTTCCCAAGGACTGAGTCACAGAAGTCCAGGAGATCTCAACAAGAAAAAGCAAACTAGGGAAATGCTCCCCCATGAGTGCTCCCTATGGCTCTGACCATTCTGTGCTGAGAAATTATTGTTGTTGATATAGAATCATAGAATTGTTTATGTTGGAAAAGACCTTTAAGATCTAGTCCAACCATTAACCTAACACTGCCAAGTCCACCACTAAACCATGTCCCTAAGTGTTATGTCTACCCATCTTTTAAATACCTCCAGGGATGGGGACTCAACCACTTCCCTTGGGCAGCCCATTCCAATGCTTGACAACCCTCGCAGTGAAGAAATTTTTCCTAATATCCAATCTAAACCTCCCCTGGCACAACTTGAGGCCATTTCTCCTTGTCCTATTGCTTGCTACTTGGGAGAAGAGACCAACACCCACCTCACTACAGCCTCCTGTCAGGCAGTTGTAGAGGGCGATAAGGTCTCCCCTCAGCCTCCTCTTCTCCAGGCTAAACAACCCCAGTTCCCTCAGCTGCTCCTCATCAGACTTGTGCTCCAGACCCCTCACCAGCTTCGTTGCCCTTCTCTGGACACGTTCCAGCACCTCAATGTCCTTCTTGTAGTGAGGGGCCCAAAACTGAACACAGTATTCGAGCTGCAGCCTCACCAGTGCCAAGTAGAGAGGAAAGATGACTTCTCTACTCCTGCTGGCCACACTACTCCTGATACAAGCCAGGATGCCATTGGCCTTCCTGGGCACACTGCTGGCTCACATTCAGCCGGCTGTCACACCACAAACCTGGGCTTTATCAGCAGAGGCCATGTGCAAACACAGAGCAAAAAAGAGAGACTGTAGCTGAAGTAGTCTGCGATTTAAATACAGGATAGGCGGACTTAGAAGCAAGGGGAGTGGTGATGAGGATATAAATTGCGTCAGTGGCAGAATTGATCCCAAAACCCGAATTCAGAGCTCTACATCCTGAGCAAAGGGAAGTAATTTTTTAGTATGCCCAGAATACAGGTATTTAGAACAACATTTTGTCCTCCAAGTTTTCTCTTTCACTCAGTTCATCACACCCATGAAGAGTATGTCTACACAGGTGACTGGAGACAGACAGGTACCTCTCTTCACTCTCCACATTGGTCAGATATAAGCCAAACCCAGTCTGGAAGCCATGCAGAGTGTCAACACTGCACTGAGCAAGCTCCTTAGGCTACAGGTCCACCACCTTTTTAATCTGGTCCAAATGGGACTCCTACTGAGCTTGATGAGGACCAGCCTGCTCTTCCCCCAAGTGCACGTCTCTTGCTGACTCCTCAGTGCATTTTAGTCATGCATTGAGTCAGACCCTGGAACTCATCCAACTGAAAACCAGGCCAACAGCAACAACAAAAGTGGATTTGCATTTGGCCACAAGTGATAGTACCAGCACAAGCAAGAGAGATCAGGAATGTGCAGCCAGAGGCTGAACCTTTGGCAGGAGACCACACTTACGGCAAATTAAAATGACCGCTGAACCACTGCCTTTGCCTTGCAGAGAGGAAAGTTTTGGTTAGCTCCAGCACAGTTTCACCTTAATACAGGTGAACACCTCCTGGACAAGAACCGCCTGTGTAATAGCTTGTCGTGCCAGGGAAGTGAACATGCTTCAGATGATACTTCTAGGTACGTCTGGAGATGCCTAACCGCCTACTGCTAGTAACTTAGATAATGTTTCTCTCATTGGAGAGCATTGCAATATTCAAACTTTCATTTCTTAAGCCTCCTTTGCAGACGCAGGATCTTTAGGGAATAAGAATGCTATAATTTTTAATAGTAATAATGGGATAATAATGCAGCTGCAGAGCAATGCTAACATTATCCCCTGCAGCAATTATCCCCAACATTTTCCTACAAACATAGCAAATCCAAACAACATAATAAGATAAGCCATAGTCCCCAGATGAGTCAGCACTCATCAGCAGAGTTTCCCCAGCCCCACAAAGTTACTCTCCACTGCCCTTCAGCTTCTATGAACTACTCAGATCTGTGGTATCACCAAAGAAGAAAAAAAAAGAAAAAAAAAAAAGTGTCCTCCTTTTCCCATTTCAAAACATGTATTCTTTTTCTGCTTTCCTATGCCCTCATTTAGATGATCTGTTCCTTGTATAGATCAACATTACTTGTCATTGGGAAAAAAAAGTCAAATTGATCAGTTAGGAGCTTCCTACATGGAACGTAAGGAAAAAAATTGAAGTTTTTCTACAATGACAGTCTAATGTTGCAGACTGCCCCATTAGAACAAGGATCTACACTGCCACAGGACTTGAAATCAGTGGTGTTGGAGAGGTTTATAAAGATATCAGCTGCTCATTCATGTTCCTCTACCGTACCATGCACACCAAGTGGCAGTCTCCACGTCTTTGCTCATATTGCCCATATTCCCTGCCACAGTCCTCCTGCCCCATCATTACCCATGCTCTGCATGCCAGCACCCCCACACCTCCCCAACCTCCCCCCCTGCCACCATCCACCCACCTTACCCTGCTCAGAGATCCAAGTCTGTCAGATCTGAACTGACTTTGGGGAAAGCACAGGAAGCTTATCAGTCAAAGCTGCCTCCGTAACAGAGCCACAAACTTTGTGCCTCTGTTAACAGACCACTCCCTACTACTTTTCTGCCAACCCATCTCTAGAGTCTTCTTTTTTTTTTGCCCAGCTGACACGCTACTGGTTGTATTTCTCAGGCTTTTCTTACATGGTCTTCAAGATGTTTTAAAAGTACATATCCTCACCACTAATCTAAACAAGCCTTAATAGGGATTAGGATTGAAACCCAGATTGGCAGAACTGAGGAATTTGCAGCTTTGTTACAGTATCAGATGCATCCTCAAACATCCTCTAAATATAGTAAAAGGCTGGCCTAAATCTGCTATTGCTTCATGTTTAATTCAGATACCTTCGAGTGAGTGCATCTCTCTTCCCCTCCCCTCCCCTCCCCCCCCCCCCCCCCCCTCTTTCTCTCTCCCTCCACAAAAAAAACGCTGACTTTAACTTAAACAAACACTCCAAAACACAGAGGAAGTGTTTTAAGAACTTGTTTCTACAAAACTATAGTTTATCAGAGGGAGAGAACACAATAGATCTGGAGATGAAAGCACTACATTATAACAGGGATTTTACAACTTCTCTAAAGCAAGTATCAGTGTAATGTCTAAACTACGTAGTTACTTTAAAGAGGAGTACTTTATACAGTAATGAACAGAACTTGCACTTTCCTATTCAAGAGCCTTGCAGCTAAGCAGGAAATGATGATGCTTTTGATACAGTAGATGCAAATGAAACCAATCTCCAGCAGCAGATCTCTGAACTGCCATCAGCTTCTTATCAAGTAGAGATGAAGGTTGCCAGAACGCCAGAACACGCAGGAAGTTGCACTCTAAAGCAACGTGAGCTTCGGTATTAAAAGCTTCTGAAAGGCCATGCATTTTATTACGCCTTTGAGATCAATAGTTCAATTTTACACTTACTTTAATACAAATCCAGGCAAACCAGGATTAGAGTAGATACAGATTTTGGAGTACCGTTTTCTAGCCTAATAATGACCTTCACAGACAGCAAAATCCCAGCCTAAACAAAGATGCAAAACTAGTCTTTTGACTGAATTTATAGCGCAATATTTCTGGGTGAAGCAACTCTCATTTAGTTTCACTGCTTCCCACTACAAGATAATGGTCTGTCATTAGTTATTCATCTCTCTAGTTATGCCCTTAAAAGGTTCTGAGGCACACATAAAAGCAAATTGTTCTGAGCAACAATATACTGTAAAGGACTGCATAAGACCAGACAAGGTCATGTGTGTCTAGTTTCTAGAAAAGCAAGGATATCCTCACAGGATCCCGTAACAAAATTTGAATTAAATCTTTCTGGTGCCATGTGGGCAGGTGGGCAGCAAGAATATCCAGTAATTTCCCAATCAAGAGACAGAAAACAGCACCAAGGCTCAGAACGAGGAGCCCTCATCATACGGCTTAAACTCTATTGCTGTCTGATGCTACCCTCTGAAAAAAAAAAAAAATTGAAAAAAAAATGTATGGGCCTAATTGCAGGGAAAACAAAAAAGGCAACCTCCCCTCTAAAATGATATTAGATCTTCCTTTTTTTTTTTTTTAATAGCATCACACTGAAGATTACCCCTACCTGGAGCAAACCCTGCTGTGAAACAGAGC